ATTTATTTAATTGCAAGTTAATATGTAAAATTTTGTGTAATTACATTTTAATTCAAATGTATCAAGTTGGTGTATCACGCTTAATAAGATGACCAATAATTAAAATTAAAAAATTTATTAATTTTAAATAGTTGATTGCTAAAATAAGTTCAAAAAAAATAATTTCATTAATATCATTATATGATCTGTAATAAAGATTTGAATCTGAAATAATAAATTATCTTATATAATCTATAAAAAGAAATATTGCCTTAATAAATTTAATTTAAAGTTTATTAATAAACAAACATCCATTTTTTTAATACTAATAATATATAACTTAACTTAGATAAATCAAAAAAATAGACGCTATGAATCGAAAAAATAAAATTCATTAAATATAAGCAACTTAAAAATATTTTATTAATTTTTGAGATCAATTTCAAAAATAGCATGTAAATTCAAAATTTTGCAAATGTTTAAAAATAAAAACATTACTTAATTTACTCTAGCATATAAATACGAATTTATAGACCAATATAATTTAAAATTTAGGATTGAAAAATTTGATCAGGTTAAAAGTTATATTAGGAATAACTTATCCTAAATTTTGCAAAGAATTTTTTTCCAATGTTAGTTCATATATAAAATTTTGAATATTATAAGCATCCGTGTTTGATGTACTACGTAGTGTACAAATAGTAATTACCTTAAAAATATATCGCTCAATCAATAATATGAATTAAATATAGTAACCGAAAAATAATTTATTACAAATAAAGTGTAGAGTTTCGCTTACAATAAATTATTTAATTGCGCATTAAATTTTTTTAATTGAAATTTTGCAAAATGATATCGAAATATTTTAAATTTAACCTTTTTGACCGGGTTATAACTCAGGTCAAAATCATGCTGGTTGACAAGGGTCAACCGATCGAAAAGACAGGGAGCATTGGCAAGGGCCCCACATCACGTGTCGCAACCCCTACTCCGTTGACAACCGATACGAGACGCAATCAGCGCCAGATCACTAGAACATGCTACGTAATCCCAAGCCACCGAAAAGCTTATATAAAGGTCGAGAGAAAAAGAGCCTATTTACGCACTCTTCCCTCATCGAACATCCAATTCATATAGTTAGCATTTCTCGACCCATCCCGCCACATTGTAGTCTCCTGATTCTGCCATTTTCCTATTTAACAGCCGGCCTGCTTCGAGCAGGCGGGAAACCACCGGCTGATGCTGCTTCTCGCTCGCTCTACTGTTACGATGATACCTGGCGCAATCTCATTTGCTAATCTTCCGGGAGCATATCATCGTTTCAGTTCAAATTACTTAAAATCACTATTTACTTAAAATTACCAATTCAATGTATTCTGCGGACTTAAAGTCCTTTAATTGAATTTATTTCCGGCACCTTTGGCTGTCCGGAATTCCTCCAGTCACATGACCAAAGCTTTTCGATTGCCCATTAAAAATGTAGCTTACGTCATAATTAAAGCTCAGAATTATAACGACAACGATACTGTTTTTTAATAGCAAGCATAATACAGAATGAAAGCCAACAAAAAACTTATTATAAGAATGGCCAATTCGGATTATTGTAAAATGAGTTGACTAATAATTTGTCCAAATTTGACGTTAAAGTTCTGCGACATGGTTGAAAATATTTTTATTTCAGCCGTTGCTAGTGTTTAATAGGAATAAGTGTATAGTGATATTAGGTTATTATTATATACATATAATTCTTTAAAAAACTAATACCATCAACTATTTATATAAAGAACTGACGGTTCTGGAAGAAAAAAAAGGTCATTATAAAAATTACTGTTTTCTTAAGGACCCATGGCACACTCTATACCAGAGGTTGTACTCGTATAAGAGTCATCCGGATAACCCGGGTAACACCTGTTAATCGGGTTATATTTATCGCTAACCGGGTGAGTAACCCGGAGCTCAAAGTTTTTATCGGGTACAACCTCTACTCTATACCGAGCTATTATGAAATTTTAACTTTTGATTTTGTGCTTTGATTCTGTTTTAATTATGGCGCAAGCTACATTTTTTTATGAACGATACTAGGATGGCTTGGAACTATTGGATAGAATCAAATAACTCAAAGCACAAAGTTTAGTCATGTCACTCTCTAAGCCATCCGGACTTAAATTCAATAAACTTTCATCCTTTAACATCTGTATAAAGATTAATATCAAATATATATTTTTAATGATTAATAGACGTTAATATTAGTGATAAGCCGCGCTGTGACTTAGAGATTACGGGTTGAACTTTTTTTGTGACATTACTAAGCTTCGTAATTAAAACCCGTTTAGCCTGAATCAGATCAATTTCCGACACGTGATCTGTCAAGACGCTCTGCTATACTTAGGTGTATGTATTATACTTATCGTTATATACCTGTACATATCAGATATAATAGTAAAACTTAGTACGTACTCATATGATGTATCCTCGAATACGACTACCTAGACACTAAAATGATTACCCAAGTTAGGGCCTGGACCTGCACTGGTTGGGCCGAATTAAAAAAATTTAAAGACCTTATAAAATTGCAGGCCTGGTATGTCAAAAAAATAGTAAAATGCGGCCGGCAAACGTACAAATTTTTAGGCTCGTGCAGGTCCCTACCCCAAGTACACATACCCCAAAAATTATTAAACTTTATCGAAACAAATAATATATTTCACGGCTGATGCTGAAATTTGGACCTATTTTGATATGAATTTTCAAAAAAATTTTTCCCCGCTTTTTTTTTTTTATGGTCTAGTGATTAGGTAATTAAAGAGTGTATGTGGATTTTAGCTGTGCTTATATTTCCAAATCACAATCCCAAATTTCAGCATCAGTCACAATATATCTTCATATAGAATATGTTTGTAAGATGTCAAGATTGTTTTTTTTTATGACCGGTTAGGACCAGTGTTGGAAATTATATATGTTCACGGTGTTCACAGCGAACATAAATTTTTAAAAAGAATAAAAAAAAATTTTATTTTATATCGCACTTGAAAACATAACTAATTTTAATTAATAAAAACTTTGTGATCATTACTCTTTCAATGCGAACCTAGTAAAAAAAAAGTATGTTCACAAAAATCATTATTATTATTATTATTTTGAATTCCCAACACTGGTTAGGGCCATGAATCATCTATATTTAACCTTATAAAGATAATTTATTTTCTGGTTATTTTTTTATAAAATAAATATAATTGCAACTTTCATTGTCATACTACACTCTGCCAAATGTAAACGTATTTTTTACATTTTCTTTTTACCTCTAGCATTGGGTACCCATATTTTTATGGTGAAATCCGCAGAACAGCTCGCCAATATCGGTTCAAAAGGATGAAAATCTACAGCATAAACGAAATCAGTATGACCCTCTAAACGTTGTAATAATTCTCCAGTTCCCTATTGATTAAATTTATTTTATTAAATATGTAAATAATTAATAACGAATTAAACTACAAAAAAAAAGGGTTACCTCCAGACCACCAATGTTAAATAAATACGCGTATGGATCCGCACTACCCGTAGCTAACAATAAACTTGCTTCCAATAATTTATCCTTCTCGTAACTAATTTGAAATTTGTTGAATAATTAACGTTGCTTATCGATTTGTCAAAAATCATGACAAATAAAAAATATTCTTACAAAACATTATCAACAGAATCAATTTGTTCGGGTACATCGTAAATATCTTTTGTTTGTGTTCTTTGTGCGGTATAATGTTGATCTATATATACGTAACTGCTTAATATTCACATTACTCATATATCTTATATATTTGTAACAACTTTTAAAGATTCTACTGATCAAATGCATACAATCTTTTCCCAGGAAAAATGAACTCTTAATCGGCCATCCCTTATTCTTGTAGCCTTTTAAGATATGTATCAATTGCGGTTTAATGTTAGGTGGCTCTATTCCGCGATCATAAATTCTTATTACTTGATAAATTAGAAATCATTGTCAGGTTAGACAAACTGGTTTTGCTCCTAAAATTCATTTACGTTCACGTACGATTGTCATAACTATTAACTGCCATATATCGCGGCTCTTCACCGTCTAAAAGTGTTCAAAATTCACTATATTTAATTAAAATAATGATAAAATCGTTTACAAAAAAAAAAAAAAAAAAATTCACCAAGGCTTTTTCTCGATACAGCAATATGAGAAACGGGCTTTTTTGTTGGTTCATTTAAAAATGATTGAATGACAGAGCCTACAGTAAAAATTTATGTCAATATATTTGTATTAAATTTTATAACTTGTGAGTAATACTAACCAGCTCTAATATCCCAGGTTTTTACGTATCCCAACGAGTCACCTGTGATAATAGTTTGTCCATTACGAAAAATATAAAGAGAATTTATCATCCCATCATCCTTGAAGCTTAATGCATTTTCGGGTTTCCGAATATCTATTATTGCCAAAACTTTGCGAGAAGACCCACTTACAAAGATATTGTTGTCTATGAAAGGTAAACGGAACACAGATAACTAAAATGATATACAACATTGACAGATGACTAGCAGTAGTAAATAAATACCTTGTGGGTTAAACATTACACATTGAACAAATCCTTCACTTTCATGCGTATGAGTATTTTTACTTGTCTCAATATCCCAAATTTTACATGTTTGATCATACGCCCCTGACAATACTGCGCTAGAATCATTTGACCAACACACGTCTGAAACGTTGAGCGTGTGTCCCTTTAGGCAAGCTTGCTAGATTAAATGTGCGTGAGTTTATGCAATTTGTTTGAATGAAATAATGCTGAATGAAATAATGATAAACTTTTAGGGAAGTCAGATATTATGTAGTATAATTTATTTTTCCTTTTATTCCCCACAAGATTTTTTATTTTATTTTATTTTATTTTATTTTTGTATGAATATATGATTTTCTCTCTCAAGATATTACGTAATATCTGTCACTTCCCTTAATATAGAGCATATTTCACCTCCTTTTGTAGAGATATAGTGTCCCATATTCGTACTGTTTTGTCAAGAGAACCAGAAGCAAGCATCTTTCCGCATGGAGAAAATTGTATTGTAGATACACCACCACCATGGCCCTAAAATACTCATTTGAAAATCGAAAACAATATTAAACATTTTAATGCATATTAAAGGTAAAGCATTTATTAAATTAAATCATTAATATTTTTAAACCTTAAATTCTGATTTTTGATAAAACGTCCTTCTTTCTCGAATATTTTCCCGGGTATTATTACCTATATTGACATGATCATTGAATACAAAATTAAAAGAATTATCTATAAAATAATTCAGAATTTACCAGTTGAATCTCCCAAGTTAATTTCTTTCCCACCACCTTCTTGAGGTTCTTCAAAATCAATCATAAATGGGCTAATCCTTTGTTGATGCGCTGCGGCTGCCGCTGTATATTTCACCGTCAAATCATAAATAGATTTTTTTAATGCCCTATTTTCCTTTTCCAGTATATCAACTTTTTGTTTTAATGCTTTATTTTCTCTAGTAAGTTTATCAACATTATCCCGTTCGGACGAAATTGAGGTAGTGGCTTTTTTTATTGGTGGCTCCATGTAGGCAAAAGTTTATATACTATAGGATTATTTGGAAATGAAGGTACATTTATTATTATATTTAAAAAAAAATAAAAAATAAAAAAGTCCGCTCGTACTACAAGTAAAAAAAGTGTACTACTATTAATTTTTACGGCTTCAAAGTCCGCATTCTGATGATCATCGACTTAAAGATATAAAAGGACTAGTTACGATTTCATCTCTGCGTTTTTTTGCCTAAAAAAAAAAAGAGAAAAAAAATCTTTTTAAAAAATGTCACTTACTCTTTTCATTATTCGTCATGGCGAACGTGCGGATTTAGTCGATCCTAAATTCAGAGATACGTCACCTACACCATATGATACCCCATTAACACCCAAAGGTAAAAGGCAAGCTAAAAGGACCGGTGCATATATTCATGATATTCAACTTGAGACAGTAGTCAAAGACATTAATTACCAAAGAAAAGTGGAATATATAATTTACACCAGCCCATTTTTGAGGACTGTAGAAACAGCCATCGGAATTGCTGAAGGTATTACTTCCAACCAACCAAATTTGCCAATTGGTTCTCTACAATTTAGAATTGAACCTGCCCTCGCAGATTTGCATTATCATAAAAAAGCTATTCCTAACAGCATAATCGATTCTCGTGTTAAAGAGCTATGTCTTCTTACCCAGCCAGATCAAGATACAGAACAAGATCAACAAAAGTCTCAACTTTGTTTTAAAGTAGATTTTGAATATGCACCTATATCGACAAAGTTACCACCTCATCCAGAAGGAATGATGGATGCTTTGGCACGCTGTAGCAATGCATTTGAAAAAATCACAATCCCATTTATAGAACGTCTTTGTCAAGATCCATTAAAAGACATAGTTTTGATACTTGTAACACACGGCTGGTGTTTTAATGCTATTCAAAGTTCATGTTTTAAAGGTAGTGGTCCTTGGTTTGATGTCAGATATTGCGCGGTAACCCGAGCTAGGTGGGTACCAAAAGATGAAAATAGCGAAAATATCTATAACACAGAAGATACTTTTGATGACAATAATTCGACTGGAAAATGGATACTAGATATAATTGCTAATGTAGAACACTTAAAAAGCATGAGTGTTGTACTATGATCAGTTACAGGTTTTTACTTTGCAGTACTTAAAGCAAAGTTTAAATAAATGTTCTATTTAAATAAATTTATTTACTAATATATTTTTACAAAAAATTATGAATAATTTATATATTAATTTATTGTATATATACAATTATAATATATATAAATAATTATAAAATATTTTAAATTTTATTATACTATATCAAGATAATAATTACTATTATTTGTTTATAAAAACAATCTAATTAATCAATTTAAATACGTATATAATATATAATTTATTAAATTAAATTAAGGGTAGGAGTACTATATTAAAATTATATATAAACTTAATGGTAAATTTTTTTTATATTTAATTTTATAAAAAATTATATTAAGTAAACTAATGTTAATTTATAAGAAAAGTTTGTAGAACAGATCTTTTTGATTTTAATAATAGTAAAATTATTAAATTTGATTAAAAACTTAGTAAGATATAATTTTTTAAAAATTAAATATAAAAATTATTAATTAAATTAACTTATAGGGTTACATAAATTAACTAATTAAATTTAACAAATTTAGCAATTTTATGTTACTTTAGAATTTTTCAAAAAAATTTTGTGATATATACAAGTATATATTTTTTAAACATAATAATAGTTCAAAATTTTACTTTTTTTTTTTTTTTTTTTGTTTAACTTGTAAGCGTCGGCCTGTAGTTT